CCTACACCTCGGCCCTGCGGCCCCGTGCCGCAGAGGGCCGCAGTGTACAGCGCTGCATGCAATGCAGACAGGCGGCCGGGCGGGGCCGGGGCGGGGCCGCGGGGCCGCGAGGAGCGCCGGGCTGGAGGAGTGGCGCGCGGTGCGTCGCCGCGACACATAATCATTAGAATACCAAAAAGTGTACCGCAATAAAAAAAAAATCATAATTTTGCCGTGTGGATTCACACGACACAAACCTCTCTCCATACCTCCCCGCGAGCGGTGCACGGCACGGCGGCCGGCACGAAATCGCAGGAAATGAAGCGAGTAGCAGCGGGGAGGGGCAGTATGCGCGGGCAGAGCGGGCGGGCGAGGGAAGTCCCACATCGAGCGGCGACATTCTCGTACGCGCGGGGGGCGGCGGGGCGGCGGCCACAGCCATCGCTGGCATCCATTTTATTACGCCTCTCTCTATTATTTCCCTTCCTACCGGCCAGAGGCGCGGACGTGGATATTAGAGGGGGAGGGAGAGACAGACAGAGAGAGAGAGAGAGAGAGACGGGGAGAGCGATCGAGTGAGAGAGACGAACAGACACACAAATATCTCGCCCACTTATTGACTTCCACGCGCGCGGCGCCCTCTGAAAGTTTCAACGAGAGAGATAGGGACAGTCGATTGGAGACAGGAATGATGATTGTGATGATATGGTAGCGCGTGGTGGACTGCGGAGGAGGGGCGCGGTGTTGGCCGTTGTGAGGTGGCGGTGCCGCCCGGCGCCCGCCTGCTGGCCTAGTTACATCGCTGCCAATTCCAGCCGCAGCGCTACGCCCACACTGCGCCTTGACTGCAGCGGGGCGTGGCAGGGCGTGGCGGCGCGTGGCGAGGCCCGAAGCCTTTGCTGCGCTCGCTGCGCCCTCTCTTCCTTTGCATTTCAAATGTCAGGACGGCAGGCTGGGCGCCCAGGCCGCCGCGCACGCAGTCGCCCCCGTGGGGCGCCTGGTCAAAGTCACTTCCTGTTCAAGAATAAACAGCCTGGCCTCACAGGAGCGCGGCGCATGGCGGCGGCGAGATACAACGCGCATGGCGGCGGGCTGCGGCTGCGCCTCTGCCGGGCGGCTCCAGCGGGGCGCCCGGCGGGTAGGCCACCCGGCCGCACGGCTGCGTCGCGAGGCCGGGCGCTGCCTACATCGCGGGCGCTCCCCGCTCCCCTCTCGGCGGGCCCGGGCCCACAAGGGACGGCTGTGTGGCCGGGTCGCTCCGGGCCGCCTCGCGCCAGGCCTTGAGGGATGTATGGGGACGCGACACGGGGGCGGGACAAGAGAGCAGCAGGAGATGCCCGCCGCCCGCGACGGGCGGAAATGGATCTGGAAGTCGAAGGCGGTGACAGCGACAAACGACTCTGGTGACGGCTTGTCGCCATCACGACGGCGGTGGGCGGCCGCTATGGGTGCTCCCCGCTCGTCTGCTGAATGGCCGACGCTGCCTGGACCAGCCCGGCGAGGGCTGCGGGCTCCCCGGAACCCCCGAGACGTGACGGCGCAACCCGTGGCGGGAAATGTGCCCGCGCCGTCGACCCCTCTCTTGACCCCCGCCTCCCGCATAGCCCAGGACCTGCCTTCTTCTGCCCAGTGAAAAGCATTTCGGCCCGTCCGATGTAAGGTGCTTCCTGGCGAGCAAAAATATTCGGCAGTTTCTCCTTCCGTCCGTCTGTCTGGGCTGTCGTCTGCCCGTTTGCCTGCCGGCCTCTTTCCAACCCGGTCCTCTCGTTCTCCCATTCCCCTCGCTTTCGTTTTCTTGTTCTCCTTCCATCCTCTTCGCTACGCCTTCCCCCTCGTCTTTGCCATCTCGTTTGCCCTTCCCCCTCCCTCCTCTCTCTCCCTCTCTTGCTCTTTACAACGCGAGCGCCTTAGGCTATCTCCCTCAGGTGTGACGTGGCGGAGCCAACGAAAATATTCACTCTCTGTCCTCACCCCTACCGTCTCCACCTCTGCCTCGCCCCATTCTCTCTCTCTTTCGCGCGCGTCCGTGACGTCACGGTCGCACCGAAATACCCGCGTCCCGACCGCGCCACGCCAGGCGTCAATCGCGCAGGTCCTCGGCCCGTCCCGGCCGACGGCAGGCGGGGCCCAGCTCAGCGCTTGTTTAGCCCGGCGCGCACCACGTGCACCCGGCGGTGTACCTGTTACGCGTTTGCTACCCGTCGTTGTGTCCGGCGGGCCACGAAGTCCACCGCCGCCCAGCCAATCATTGGGGCTCGTTACGTCCGGGCCGGCCCGCTCTTACCCAATGACGGGAACGCCGCCCTTCCGATCCTTTTCACTCGCGGGGGGGCTGGGGCT